TGTTGCTTCCAATTTTCAAAAAACTTCTCATTTTCTTACCTTAACGCCAGAAATGGTCCCTCCGCAAGACCTTTCTATGGAAGCTTCTGTGGAAGTGAGTGCCACTGAAGAGAATAACAAGACAGTCTCTGATTCTCTGGCTTCTACTCACGTGAGTCTCAATGAGCCTTTCATTGGCAAATTGTTTAATTTCCAAATCCTTTTGGAATGGTCTTTTTTTTTTTAAACAGGGTCTGGTTGTCTTGGAACTCGCTGTGTTTACCAGACTGGCATTGAAAACACAGAGATCCTCCTTCCTCTGCTTCCCAAGTGCTGGAATTAAAGGTGTGCACTGCCCCCTTTGAAAAGAATATCTTGTGTTTTGGTTTTTTTGGTTTGTTTTTCGAGACAGGGTTTCTCTGTGGTTTTGGAGGCTGTCCTGGACCTCGCTCTGTAGACCAAGCTGGCCTGGAACTCACAGAGATCCGCTTGCCTCTGCCTCCCGAGTGCCGGGATTAAAGGCATGCGCCACCAACGCCCGGCCTAGTTCTGTCCCGACTTTTCTCAATAGGCTTCAGGATTTTATTTTATCAAAACTCAAAACGTAGAAGTATTTTGATGCACTGCCATCCAAGTAATTTTGAAGGTTATGCGTTCGTGCTTGTGTGTGTCTGTGGTATATGGGCCATGAGTAGATCATAGGATAATTTTTGAAGTCAGTTCTCTATTTCTAGCATGTGGGTCCCAGGAATTTAACTCAGATTCAATTAGGTTTGGCAGCAAGCTCCTTTACCTGCTGAGCCATCTCTTTCTAGATCTAGAAAAATATTTTAAAGTGAACTATACTTTTTTCTTTGGTTGTCTTTTGAGAGATCAATAACTTGAGCTTATAAGGCTTTTCTTTAGTAATATAAATTGAGAAATACTATGTCCAAAAAAGGTTCTAAAATATGATATGGTAATAACTTGGTAATAGTGTTCAGATATACTAGGGGTTCTTCTAATCTCACTTTTATGTCTGGTCTTTTCTCAAAGTATCTGCATGTTTCCTTCCAATTTCATTTTATTTTATGGCTACCAGAGGCTGGAGGCTAGCTCAGTTAGAGTTCATACTTATGCAATGGTGACATTGAAGGTCTATTGTCCGGAAGTCATCACCAAAAAGTGCTTGTTCTCAAATACAGTTTCTAGACACATGAAATATGCAGCCGTCTCCTAGAATCTTTTCTACATTCTGATGTGCTTCTCAATGTACGGCCAATAATTCTCAGTTATTAAAATTATGTCAGTTACCCAGGAAAAGGTCATTTATAGTTTCTTCGGATTCCTAATTTTCTTTTACTAAGTCTTGCTCAACACCAAAGGTCTTCTTGCAATGCATGCACCTGTAGAATTGTATAGTACTGTCTCCAGTTCCAGGTTGGAATCCTTCCACTTACTAGGAAAGTGCTGATACATCTTTGTCATTTGACTAGCTGTCACATATGAATCTGATCATGTGCACTACAACATTTCTCAGTTTGGGTTTCCATATTATCGAGATATTTTGTGGGGTTTTTTTCAGTATTAAATTCCTTTAGGGAAGTTTCCAGAAATCTACTGAAATTCTGTCTTATTGGGAAAAAATAAGAAAACACAAACAGCTACTGAAAATAATTTCAAGGCAGTTGGTTTGTAGGAAAAATTTAGAGAACTAAAATGCTCACTGAACTGTCCACTACTGTGGAGTCTTTCCGTTTCCATCTCCACTTGAAGAACAGTAGATGGAGCTATTTAAGGTACACAATCAAAAATAATCCTCTCCCAGAGTTCAGGACTGTGCAGTAATTGGTTCAGACTCTGAGCGCCGCTGTTCACCAACAAGGGAGGAAAAGACAGCGAAGCCCTGCTCGCTGGCTTTGCGTGCGCCAGAAGCACAATGCAGATAGATTGAGACAAAACACCTCTCCGAGGAAATTGGCCAGAGGAGCTGGTCCCACCTCCTGACTGTCGGGTTCCAAGACCTAAAAAGCGAATTCTGGTTTAAGCAGCCAAAGGCAGGACTGGAAATAAAATCCTCAAGTGACAATGATCCCTGCGCAATGGTTCGAGAACTGCAAAGTGCTGGTCTTACTGGGAATCCTCCTCGGGATCCTGGGGGAGGCCGGATCCACCCAGATACGCTATTCAGTTTCGGAGGAGCTGGAAAAAGGATCTAGGGTGGGTAACATCTCCAAGGATCTGGGGCTGGAGCCCCGCGAGCTGGCGGAGCGCAGGGTCCGCATTGC